TTTTGCGTGTGCTTAACTTGTCGGTGCTGAACTTTCCTCGTACATCGTTCACTGATCCCTGATGACCAGACTAAAAACCACAAAGTGACCTGTAGAACAAATCAGCCCTATTCATGTTTCTGGTCTTCCGAATACGTTTAATTCTAAAGCTATACATTAATGTATCATTGCACTACGAATTGTACACCTAATTTAGCTCCAGAAAGATAAAATAATAACAAGTTGTTGCACAAAATATCAAATAAAAACAAATGGGCAATAATCATAAATATTTTTCATACAAGAAAGGCTTGAGTTAATGAAACTTTTTTCATATCAGTACCAGTTTCCATAATCGAAAAGCATGTAGTTATGATAGCAAAAACAACATATGATTTGGCATACAACAACTACGTGAAAGAAAATGTAGGAAATTAGTGATACTCATAATAACATGCAAGGAGATTTACATTCGACAATCAATTTTTACAATAGTACGAACGAAAAATTTACTATTCAATTGTTTTGAACCTAAATAAGTTCTTTTGTTAGCCAATATAAATCATGCAAAACTAGCTTGATGTTGGCTTCAAGCATTTGTAATTGAAATCGAACGTATTAATCGAAGTACTTTCGAATAATAAGACGATACATCAATATTTGATTTTCAAATATGAGAACCAGGGCAACGACTTTGGCCTAGTGGTCTGGCAGTTCTAAATTATACAAATGGAATAAGTTGATTTCGATTGAAATATATCTTGTTTGAAAAATAATCAGTATGTAATAAACGCGATACTAAGTTGTATTATGTAATCAGAAATTTTCTAATCCTTTCTGGGTTTTTTGTTACTGAAATATCAAATAGAAACAAATTGCTTTTTATCACCGGAAATTATCGTAAGGTGCCAATGATATCAAAAAGGACTCTTCAAGTGATTAGAAATTATCGGAAGCAATCAGAAATTATCAGTAATAAATGATGTCCAGGTTTCCAATGATTTCTATTGATTTTATGTTAATATATATGAATTGTGTATTTTATTAAGTTAGTAAGTGCATTGATTTCTGAATATCAACTGTCGGATATTTTCTTGACTTAAGACCATGTATGTATAAAGATTTTCATGAAGGGTTCATTATCAACTGTCTCAAAGTATTTGGATTCTAATTTTCATAATGAGTAACCAATTCTATTCACAGATAATATTGTACATGTCGATTGTTAACAATTGGCTTTTAAAACAACAAGACTATGTATACTTTATTCATTGTTCTTCTTTCAAAATGCTACAGCCATAGTAATTTTCAATAAAAATATTTTGACATTCAAAATAGCTGTTAAATTAAAAGTTAAAGTTTCAATTTTAAGAATTACTTATCGTATAGTTAAATACTTTTTATAAAGTCATATAGGAACCTACTAGGCAAGATAATTTATGATCACAATATATATTCCTCGATAAAATTTTCGCTTTGGCCTTTTTTATTCGAAAAATTTGCTGAATTCATGTTGTTAACATCATTATTTATTTTACTGACAATGTTTGATAATATAAAATAAGTTGAGTCGTATGGTATTAACGTCAACACTAAACTATTGATATTAAGCATGTCATACTACCAATATCGTATTGACTGGTATTGATATTGTGAGATGCCAAAGTAATGTATTGACATCCACTATAGCATTGATGATACTAACACTAAAGTTCACCAATATTGTCACACTGATTATGAAATTTTACTGAAGCACTGATTCATTAACGCGGATTGGCAGTGAAACACTGATGCATTGATTATGTTAAAGTGTTTACCTATTTATTTTAATTTAAAAAGGCAACACAAACTATTAAAATAAAATACGTCTATGCTTTCAAAAAATAAACCTCAAAATCCGAATAATGGATAATTTTGAACGGCCATTCGAATTTTTCTGTCTATGAATCATAGTCAATAAATGTCAATGACTATTACACTAACTTTGTCACATTCTCCGTATGTATAATTGTATTCAGAAACCGTAGAAATCTGACTATCATTTTATTTATTCATGATTGATTTTACGTAAAAAAAATCACAGATAACCAAGAGAAAGAAAGAAACAACAATAAAGTTTAACAAAAAGCCAAGGAAAAAAAATATATAAAATAAAGTCATCTGACCAAATGAGAAGGAAAAATAAGTCGACAGTAGTTTAATCTATCTTAGCTTTGCCCGAACCAATTTGTTCCTATTGAACTACTAATAACTTGAGGTCGTTTTAATGCAAACGATGTTGTTGATCGTGTATTAGCTGGTTCAATAGGTTTAAATGCTGAAGTATTTGTATTAATTGGAGTTGTTCGTGGCGGAAGAAGATGATTTAATAATGGTAATGAATGATGATATGATGTTGCTGATAGTTCACCGTTTGATTGATGATCTTGTTGTTGAAACAGCGTAAAATTTGTATTTAAATTTTGATGATTTTCAAATGAAAATGATGAAGGAAAAAAATTAAAATCACCATTATCATCATTATTACTAGTTGCAACTGTTCGTAAAAGATTTACTGGTTCAAATAAAGATTGAGCAAATGGTGATCGAACATCTAAATAAAAAGAAACAATTGTTAATCCAGTTTCTACGGAATTAAAACATAAAATACGATATAAGTTGATGTTACTAATAATAAAGAGACTGTTATATTGCAACGAATCTCTTCAATATTCATTTATCTAACCATCCAGAAATGCAATAATTTGTTCATTTATTATAACAAGATGTTATTTATATCTAGTCTATGATCCTACATCCAGAGATGAAGCCAGTCTAGACTTTTTTGCGACTGGTATCAGTATGAATAGGTCCAATCGGATCATCTAATCGTAACCAATCAGCCTGAAATCTCTACCGACATTCAAATGACGAGTTTTCATGCTATTCTATCTATGGATAATGATGTTTGACATAGCCAACTTTCAACACAGTTTCATTACACATCATCTATGAGATACTAAGAGCAAAAAAATTAATAAGGCCCATTGATAACGGTCAGTCTATCGGGAGACCAACCGAGCTGAAACTCGTAGTGATACCGACTCCATCTCTGCGTATATCATCGATGTCTGTCACGGTTCATGATGTGAGAGTAGTGTTGCTAAGGCGTCTGTCATACTTCTATGGTTATGAATGTCATGATCTGTGGCGTTTCCATCCTCAAGTCTATGAACGCGAGTAGAAGATGCAGATTTCTACCCTACGTACTTCAATACTCTTGCTAGATCAAGTTTCAGAAAATAAAAAATAAAAATGATGTTTTAATGAAAGAAAAAATACCATTTTGTATTTGTTGTGAGATACGATTAAAAGGTGTTGAATGTCGATCTAAAATAAAAACAAAACAAAAAAATTAAAATTTCACTAAAATAAAATATATTAGACTTCGATCAAGGTTATTAAATGATGTTGTTGGTGGTTCACGAATTGGTTGAAAAACTAAATTAATTCAACATTAAACATATTTCAAAAACAAGATTTCATTCATTTACATTTTTCTCGATTATTCATTGGTTCTCTAGTAGTTGTACTTATAGGTGATGATGGTAAATCATTAGATTCATGTGAAATTATATTATTTAATGGTGGTTGTGCTGCTGATAAAGCCGATGAATCATTTGTTGTTGTTGAATAAGATTTCGTATCATTTTCATTTTCATCATCTTGTTCAACAATACAATTATAAATACGTTGTGCAAGTGATTCTTCAATTTCTAAAACAATATCAACACTTGGTTTATCACTCATTTCAATTGATATTTCTTGTAAAAGATCGTTAATTATTGGCCAATATTCATTAGATAAATTTATTATTGGTGGATCAAGAAGAAGTGTTGTTTCCGCTATCGTATTTATAGTTGGTGCTGGTTCAATTGATGGTGATGGAAGTGAATTTTGTTCGATTGTATATTTTAAATTTGAAATAGATTCTAGTAGAAGAAAAAAACATATGTTCGTTTTTCTTTTTCATATTCATGATCAAATTAAATTACCAGGTCGTGTAGATTTATCTACTACAGGTGGTAACATTGGTAATGGTGATCGAATAGGTTTAGGTGATGATGGTGGCACTATTACTGTTTGAGTTGGTTGTCGTCGATATTGTGAAGATGAATGAAAAAGTTCATTTAATGAAAGACGTGGCACTTGTAATGGTTTTGTTGGAGAAGACTGGTGATGATGATGATGATGATGATGTTCGTCTCCATTTTGATCAGATGAAACAAGACATGTACAATAAGTTTCTTGATCAGTTCTAGATTGTTTTGTAGTTAATGGATCATAAAATTCAAAACGAGGTCTTCCATCTCAATAAGAAAAAAAAAACAAGACAGTTTCTGAATAATGAAATCATTAGATTCTCTTTTGTTTTAAACTGACCACGTTTTTGTACATTTGTGATTGTATCTTGATTTTTATGTTGACGTTGAAAACGTTTCATAAATCGACTTGTATATGATGTACGTTGTTTAGATGTATCACCTGATGGTTTTCGTCCATTAGAATATTTTCGTTTGATTATAACTGTTTTATGATTATTATTATTTAATTTTGATGTATAAGTATCTTGATGTTGTTGCTGTTGTCGATGTGTATGTGTAATTTGTATTGTTGAATCTATCGGACGTAATAATTGTTGATAATTATTTGATATAATTACTGATTTATGTTGCTCTTCGAGATAACGTTTAAATAATGTCGAATTAGCTCGATCAACATTTGGTAAAGATGATCGCGAATTATCCATTCTAAAATAATAATTATTTAAATTTATGTGTTTTTTTTATATTCTGAAATATCAAATGAATTTCAAGATTAATCTACTTTCTTATTTTTACAAAAAACACTTGCTCTTTTTACAATGTGAACATTCAAGATAATTAGTTAATGTAGAAGTTCGTTCTCGTTCATTGAATATCTGAGAAAAAAATATTTTTACAATCATTATCAACTAACTTCTATCTTCTTCGATTGATTATGTAATACTAGAGTAAACTCTTATTTCAGCACATATACAGAAAATTATTCTCCTAGATGAACTTTTCTTTTTATGTACTTGAACATGCAAACACTACACGATTTGTTCATGTCACATGATTTTCTTCCTATAGATAAGTTTTTAAGTGTTTGCATGAAAAGGACAAAACAATTCATGCGTTGAACTCATGAAAACCATACGAATGAGCATATTTGAAACGATCAATTGCAATAAATTACAACTTTTCTGTCAAAGATGAAATAATGAAACCTTAGCTTTTACAATGTTTGAATTCAGTTAATCATGAAATTTCTCTTTTAGCTCTGCTATATATATACAATCTTTGTTTAGTTAAAACTATGATTTTTTTATCCAAAATCATGTCTTTTTGAGCATAGACCTGAAGAAAAAAATCGAGCAACATACATCACAGATGTAGTTCCTCGTCGTCATAAAAAATGCTGGGATCCAATGACGTATTATTATCGCTACCTCGCGATGCACACGAAACTATTAATGTTCGCATGTAAAGCGCATAATATTTTTAGAAATTGGAAAATAAAAACATATAAGCTCAACCACTTTTTGCGCTGAAATATGAAACTCAAATGTATCCTTTGCCCTTATTACACTAATACAAAATATGGCGAATGAAAAATCTCTAGCAGACTATAGTTGTTTTAATTAGGATAAGAGATCGTTTTTTCTTGCGATCTCCTATCCTGATTACTACATTTCGAACAGAATTTTTTTCTTTTATTACTGGCACTCTAATTCGCTCGTTATTTTTCTTTTTTCCTATACTATTTTTCATAATTTAACATTATTATTATTCTAATCATCCATTGAACTGGAAAATAAGCCTGTTGTACATATCCATCGTATCTTCAGCACGTCTCAACGCACAATTATATATCTTGATAAATTCACAAACACTAATATTGAGTATTTTTCACAATCATATAATGACAGTGGCAAATCAATGTATCACTATTCATCATCATTGACACCTGAAATATAAATTATTGTCCTTTCAAAAATCAGAAGCCGCACTATTTAGAATATTTGCCAGCGAATTTCAGCCAATCAAAGTGTAGTAAAAACTTCAGAATATTCTAGAACAATCAGCAGTCTTATTGTTACTGTCGTCCAGTGGTGTACGCAGGGGGGGGGGGGGGGGGGGGGAGCCCCCCCCCCCCCCCCCGAGCGAACAATATTTTGGAGGGGGCGGGGCGCACGAAAGAGATGAGCTTGTGCAGCGGGTCGGTGTCTTC